TATTTGCATCTAAATTCATCAAGGATATTGTCCTGAAGTTCTTTTGTTATGTCTCTGTCAGGTTTCAGTGGCAGAATGATGCTGACCTCACAGAATGAGTTAGAAAGGAGTCCCTCCTCCTCAATTCTTTAGAATAGTTTCATAGGAATCATACCAGCTCTTCTTTATACATTGGGTAAAATTTGGCTGTGAATCCATCTGGTCCTGGGCTTTTTCTGATAGGTAGGTTTCTAATTCAATTTCAGAACTCACAACTGGTCTGTTTAGGGATTAATTTTTTCCTGATTCAATCATAAAAGGCTGTATGCTTCCAGGAATTTATCCATTTCCTCTAGATTTTCCAGTTTGTGTGTAAATTCCCTCAGTATTTTCTTGTCTGAACAGTATTTTATTTCTCCTTTGCTTATGAAGCTTAGTTTGGCTGGATATGAAATTACCGGTTTGAAATTTTTTCTTTAATAATGCGGAATATAGGACTGCCATCTCTTCTGGCTTGTAAGGTTTCTGATTAAAGGTTGGTTGTTCGTCTAACGGGGGTTTCTTTTTAGGTCACTTTTCCCTGCTCTCTTGCTGACTTTAAAATTATTTCTTTCATTTTGACATTGAAGAATCTGATGTCTATATGTATTGAAGATAGCTGTCTTATATAGTGCCTCACAGTAATTCCCTGCATTTCCTAAATTTGAAGTTAATTTCTCTAGTGAGGTTGGGAAATTTTTTATAGATCATATACTCAAATAAGTTTTCCAAGTTGTTGCTTCCTCTCCCTGTCTTTCAGGAATGCCAATGAGTGGTACTTTTGGTCTTTTTACATAGTCTCATATTTCTTGGAAGTTGCTAATTCTTTATTTTTTTCCCTTATTTTTGTCTGACTGAATTATTTCAGGGAGCCACTGTTTGAGTGCTGACACTCTTTCCTCACCTTGGTTGATTCTGCTGTTAATTATACAATNCTCACTTGATTTGCAGAACTGGTCTTTGATTCTTTTTTTAGCTTTGTCTATTCTGCTATTAATACTTACAGTTATAGTATGAAATTCTTATAAAGAGGTTTTCAACCCTATCAGATCAGTTTGGTTTTTTCTTAAAATGGCCATTTTATCTTTCATCTCCTTTATCATTGTATTGTATTCCTTAGATTTCTTAGGTTCCTTGAATTGAGTTTTAACTTTCTTCTGGATGACAATGATCTTTCCTCCTACTCATATTCTGAATTCTATTTCTGTAATTTTGGCCATTTTAGCCTGGTTAAGAACCATTTCTGGGGAACTACTGGGTTTTCTGGAGACAAGAAGATACTGTGGCTTTTTGAGTTGCCAGAATTCTTGTGCTGGTTCTTTCTCATCTGTGTGGGCATATGTTTCTTCAATCTTTAAAGTTGTGCTTTGGACAGAATTTTGTTTTTTTGATTTTTGTTTTTATCTTTGTTGATACTCTTGGAAGTTTGATTGTGGTATACGAGGGGTTCAGTCAACTGGGTTTATTATAGGAAAATTTTAGAGGGTCAAAGCTCAGCTCATCACTCCTAGTCTGCATGCTCTAACTCTAGGGGACTGATACAGGGTCCTCATCTTTGTTCTCTGGCTCCTCAAGCTTAGTAACCTGCTGCACTGGAGGGGCCGAGGTGTTCCTTGTCCACTGGCCATAACATTCCAATGGGTAGTGTGGGCCAAAACATTTCATCAGGAGGTTAGCAGCAGGATTTGTGATTGCTCATGCATGCCAACAGCCATGGCAGCATGATGAGGTGCACATGCATTGGTTGGATTAGGGTACTGGTGATAGTGGGGCTGTGGCATTTCTGCACATGCTTGCACTGGCAGCAGGTTGCAGGTGGGGATGAGGTTGCAGTGTCCATGCTCATACTTATGCTCGTGGCAGTGGCTGGGGCTGCCAACCTCTTATGCTCATACTTATGCTCGTGGTAGGCTGGGGCTGCCAACCTCTAAGCAGGTGTTTACATCATTAATAGTGATGGTGTATGGGTGGGCGGGTAGGCTTGCTTGCATCCATGTGCATGTTCATGGCACTGATGTTGGCAGCACTAGGGGTAAGGGCAATTGCTGACTATGCACATGTTTGCAGTGATAGTTATGGCAGCACAGGAGAGGGTCGAGTTGCTGGCATCAATGCACATGTTTGTGCTAGCAGTGGTGTCAGCATGAGGGATGGGCAGGGCTGTAGACATTCATTCTGGTAGTGGCAGCACAGCTGTGTGTCCACACCTTAGCGTGGGGGAGCAATGGTGGGTTGCACTCATGCTGGCAGCAGCAACAGGTTGTACATGCACATGCATGCAAATAGGGGAAGGTAGGCAAGGTCCATTTGTATGTGCTTTCCCGCAAAGTGGTGAGGAGTGGATCTGGGTAAATCCATGCTAGAAAAGTGGCACAGGGGAGGCTGCAGTGGGGGTAGGGTGCAGGTGGGTTGGTGCATGTTAAGTTGGGGCTTCTCTGCTGGAGCTGTGAAATCAGAAGCAGTCTGTCAGTGAAGGACCTATGATGAGAGACCTTGTGAAGCACCCTGGGTGGGTATCTGATATACTCCAGCAGACACTGCCAAGCAGGGACCCCAGGAGAGCTCCACAGACAAGGGTGTGTCTCATAGGCATGACTGTCCTGCTGTGTCCAGGTCCAACAGCTTCCCTGTGGCCAAAGTCTACTAGAGGAAGCATGGTGAGCCTTGGGGGATGGGTGTCCCTGGTCATGCTCCACTGCAGACATTCAGGCACAAAACTCTCTAGGCTCTACACAAAACCCTCTGGGCTCCACACAACCTGGAGTCCTGCTCCTACCACTTCTCTGAGCAGCTCTTTGTCACGCTCAAGTGTCACTGGGGGTTATGGGGTTCCTGCTATCCAGATTCTGGAAGTCTGCGTTGGGAGCAAGCTGCTCTTCACATGGTCAACTCATGCCTTCCCCAGGAGTCGCTGGTGGGCAGAAAAAAGCCCTGGTACTTGGTAGCCCCATGCAGGGTTCCCAGCTTTTCCCCTTTTCAGTCCAACATTTGTGTCCTCACTTCATTCACTCTCAATGTTTCCCTCCAAAAATATGCTCAGACTGTGCCAGTCTTTCCAATGTCCTGGTCTCTTGGTGGCAGACATTCCTCTTGGTTGCATCTAGTTGGCTATCTTGGCTTAGAGTCACTTATATGTTTTAGTATATATGTTTATATAAGGATTACATGTGGCATATGTTTATATCATGTTTAATTATATAAGTGATATAAATACATGATGTTTTGTTTATTCAACCATAAAAATAAATGAAGTACTGAGAAATGTCACAACATGAATGAATGTTGAAATCATGTTAAGTGAAAGAGGTCAGTCACAAGAGGTCACATAATATGTGACTCCATTTCTATGAAATGTTCAGATTAGGTATATCTATAAAGACAAAAAACAAGATTGTTGCTACCAGGAGTTAAGGCGGGGAGTAATGGGAGCAACTGCTTAGTGGGTACAAGTTTTCTTTTAGGGAGATGAAAATGTTTCAGAATTAGATATAGGTGATAGTTGTACAACATTATGAATGTGATGCAGGACAAGTGAGCCCCCAAATTTGGATCTTAGCCCAAGAGGGCTCTTGGCTTTGCCAAGGAAAAAATTCAAGGGTGAGCTGGTGGTGTTAGGCAGCTATCTCTTATTGACTAGTACCTCTTCTTGAGGAGCAGGATTAACTCACAGGTTGTGCTCCCAGAACAATTTGCAGGCTCTTGGCAACTGCATGTACACTCATGTAAACCCGCTTTCAGTTACATGCAGGTTAAAGGGCTGGCCAATTCAAAATGAGGAGTGGATTATTTAGAATTTTCTACAAAAGGGGCAGTAACTTTGGGGTGGTTGCCATAGCATTCATAAATTGTCATGGTGCTGGTGGGAGTGTCTTATGCCAATGAGAAATGAGGGCAGCTAGAGATCACTTTTGTCACCATCTGCTGGTTACTGCCAGTTTCTTCACTTTATACTGTCTGAATCAAATATTGTTTTGGTAAGCAGGGTTATCACCAGAACAAATCCTGCCAGTTTCCCTACCTCAAATGCACTAAATGCCACTGAACTGTTCACTTTAAAATGGTTACTTGTATGTTATGTAAACACCTTCTAATAATCAGTATCAAAATTTAAAATGTAAAAGGAAGAAAGAAAGATAACCTTTATCCTATATGCCAAAGATTATAGATAAGATGTCAGTCACTTCAGGCTCTGATGCCTTTTGTGATCTCAGGAACTATACTGCTCCTCAAATGGAGCTTTTATTTTTGCTTTTCCTCTTACCTAGAAAGCCCTTTGTATGGTTTATTGATTGGTTCATTACCTACTCTTCCTTCAAGTCTAAGCTGTTATCTCTGTAGGAACTCTAGTCTGAACACCAGGCTGAAATAATTGCTCTAGTTCTAAAATTCCACATTATTTTGTAGAAATTTCAATAGTGGTTGTACTTACAATATATTGAAATTATCTGTTTGCACTCTTGTCTCCTCAAAATGTTCTTAGGTATTTGAAGGCACAAATTGGGTTTTAGTGACTTTTACCAAGTATTAACAGCACTTACAATATAACCTGGTGTCTTAGCTCAGGCTGCTATAACAGACTACCGAAGACTCTGTGGCTTAAAATATCACTATTTACTTCTAACAGTTTTAGAGGTTGGAATTCCAAGATCAAGGTGTTAGCAGGATTGGATTATTGGCAACGCCCCTTCTCCTTGATTACAAAACACATTTTCTTGCTATGCCTTTACATGGCAGAAAGAGAGCTAGCTAACTCTCAGGTGCATCTTAAAAGGGCAGTAATCCCATCATGATGTTTCCGCTCTGATGTTCTAATTATACTTCCCAAAAGCCTGCTCTTCTAATACCATCACACTGGGATTAAAGGTTTGGAGAAACACAAACATTCTGCACATTTTACTTGGGGAAGGGGAGGGGAGAGAGAGAGAGAGAAAGAGAGAGAGAGAGAGAGAGAGAAATCAGAAAAAGCCAATTTAAGTACTGACCTACTGGGTAGCAGTTCCAGGCAAGGCAGAGACTGAAAATTTTGACTTTGAAAGCAAATATAGAAGCAGGTTCTGGTTTGAACTAAGTATTCTCTCAGCACTGCAATGGCAATAACTATTATTATATCTGATAAGAACTCTGAGTATCATTGAACAATATACATTAGAGACAAAACTGTACAGGAAAAGGAAGCATGGGTCGAGATGTTTAGCCAGGATTTTTACTGAACTATTTCAGTATAATTTATAATTGGAATCCAGTACCATTTCTCTGACTCTGGTATTTTTTTGTGGGGGGAGGGGGGTTGCTTTGTGTCTTTGTTATGGTTTAGTCATTGTTTATTCCTTTATTTTTCCTTGGTCCTCTAATGAAAAATAAAATTCAAACTTATCTTAACCACTAGTCTACAACAAATTAACTCCCCCAAACAGGATAAATATACATGATAAAAATGGTTTGTGTCATGTATTTTGTACGTATAGCCTTATTTTCTCCTCTTAATAGTTAATTATGTTAGGATTATATTCAATTTATGTGCCTATGTCCTGAGGCTCAGTGAAATATAAAATTTTTTCCAAGGCTATCATTAAAACTTAAGTGGGTTTTTTTCCTTTTTCACAAGATTTAATAGTAATGCACACTCAGAAGCTCAGGAAGAGCTGAGGACTCACAGAGAATAGGAAACCCAGAAAGGATTGAGAAGTGGCCACATGAGAATGTTAATCTTTCATCTTTTTGACTTATTAAAATAGTTATGAATTGATAACTTCAATTAGAAAGAAAACTAGTAATTTTGTAACAATAACATGGTCTCAGGAATTGGAAAAAGTATGTAATTAAATGCCATTTACTAGTTAACGTATTCTGAACACCTTGTCTGTAAATATATTTCCTCATTTTCAAATGGGGATAATAGTTGTAGTATTGTGATGTTACTAGGATTAAATGAGGCAATATAAGTGAAAATTTCTCTAACATATTAGTGTTCAGTAATTGTAATTCCATTTTCTAGTGTAGCACAGGATTTCATTTTTGCTTAGAATAATGCTAAAAGATTAATGTTTAGGATATTTTTTGAATTCTGTTCAAAGCCTTTCATTATACCTAGAATCAACCTAAGAATGGAAATGAATTTATAACTTGTGTTTGAGAGGACTGAAAACCCCAGTGACCTCTTCCACGTAAGATAGGCAAGAAGTAATTTTAATTCAATTCAGAGTAAGTAATGAATTCAATTTGTTAAAATTGATTATATTCTTCAAAAAAGTTAGATACAAATAAAATGAATCTAATAGGTAATGTGCTTTTATATAAGCAACATTTTTTTTACTCACCTGAATCTCATATCAGAAATGTTACAAATCATTTGAACAAAGGGAGCTAGGACAAATTACAATAGTCCCCTAGATTGGTGGTGAGGCATATGTTCCAAGACTACCAGTAGATGCCTGAAACTGCAGATAATACTAAATTATACATATACATTACACAAATCTATATACATAAATATATTATGTTTTTTCCTATACATACATATTTATGATAACATTTAGCTTATAAATTAGGTCCATTAAGAAATTAACAATAATTAATCATAGAAAAATTATAACAAGCTATAATAATACTTATGTGAAGGTAGTCTCTCCCCTTTCGCAAAATTTGTATTGCATTGTATCAGCTATTTTTGGATGGCAGTTCACCATGGGTAACTGAAACCACTGAAATTGAAATTGAAACTGTGCATAAGGCAGAACTATTGTACTTTTATTTTCAAGTACAGTTTGTGTATGTGTATACTTTGTTTTTACAACTAACATCTTAATTTACATGGTCCCAAATTATGTGTTTGTATGTTTCTATTTGGCTGAATACATTTGGTATATTCCATACAGTGGTAAAGATAACTTATTCACTCTCAGGTGTGTGTGTGTGTGTGTGTATAAATATGTGTTGTGCATATATGTATACATATATGTTAATGTATATGTGTGTGTGTGTGTGTGTGTATGTGTGTGTATAGTGTGGAGTTTCAAGTTAGCAGGCCTGCCTATGAGATGTTAAGCAATTTACTTAACCTTTCTAAACCACATTTTTTTCTTATCTAATAAATATAATAATTATAATAACATCAAGAAGCCTGAACAACACAGTGAAACTCTGTCTCTCCAAAACTTAAAAATAAAGTTAGCTGGGCATGGTGATCCATGCCTGTAGTCCCACCTCCTCAGGAGGATCAAGCAGCACTTGAGCCCATGAGGTCAAGGCTATGTTGAGTTACGCTCATGCCACTGAATTCCAGCCTGGACAACAGAGTGAGACCTTGTCTCAAAACAAACAAACAAAAAACAAAACAAAGCAAAACAAATAACTCTAGAATGGAGGGTATCTATGGGAATTAGATAAAATAATTGAAGAAAAAATCAATATATACTTTGAAAAATATTTCTGTAACTATGCAACCATTCATTATTATTGTTCTCTTTTAATATGCTGCTGCCATGGAAATTTTCTTTTTCTAGCGATGAAGCTCATTTATGACATTCAGTTTAGAAACCCTTGTATTGCTCCTATTCTTTTCACATGTGAGAACTCCCAACATTATACAACCAAAGTCAACATGGTTAATCATTTTCCTTTGCCACTAAACCAAATACATAAAGCCTTGTTTTCTTCCTCCTATATTTTCTTTCTTAGAAAGTGAGATTATTGGCCATCTCATAGATGGATAAGCTGCCTATCTTCTCTATAGAAGGGAAAACCCACCAATAACAATGACTGTGATGGGTACTGGGATATGGCCACAATGGAGAGAATATCTTTGTGTTTTGATTCCTGTTCCTGCTTTATTAAAATTACTAATGCTGGCTGAGAGTTATATATGTGTTAGCAACTGTGCTAAGCACTTTCCACTATTTAATTCACTTAAGCCTTATAACAGCCCTATGAAATATTTATTATTTCCTTATTGCCATTGTAAAGATAAGGAAAGTGATGCTTTATGAGTTTGAGGACCTACAAGTACTAAATTCAGAACCAGGATTTAATTAGAGTTTTTATACCCTTTACCACTATGTTAGCAAATAGGAAAACAAAGTTCAAATGAGGAAGAAGCCAAACCTCCAGCCATTGGTTCAAACTGACCCAGATGCCACATGATATCACAGAGTTTGTTAGAGATTGGTACAGTATCTGAAACATCATCTGAAACATCTTCTGGTTGCATTCTGTGATCCACTGAGCTCTTTCCCCTAATACTTAGATTTTTTAAAAAAAGCAAATAAACCAGTGAACTTTTTTTACCCTATTTTTCCCAACTTATTGTCTAATATTCTCTGAGGTAGACCTTCTGTTAGTTTTGAACAAAATATCAAAAGCAAAGACATATTACATACTGTGCTGTGAAATGTTAATAAATGTGTTCAAAGTCACTGGCAAAATTTTGGCTGAAGAAAAGAAGTACATCATAAATAACATGATTTCAAGTATGTTACTATAGCCCAAAAATGATGGAGTCAAATCAGTTCACTTCGCTTTGTGTGGGGACCATCTGCCTTTTCTATTGTAAAGAGTACTAGGCATTTGCTTCCAAGAAATTTAAAAATAACTGATCGTCTGAACTTCAATTTCTTCAAAAGGAGAAGAAAAACAATCCAGTTTACAAAAATTGACATGGTGTTAAAAATATATATTTGAAGAACATGTTTTAAAAGCAGAGGCAATTCCTACCTTTTGGCGGTGCTCTTTGGTGAACATTTAAAGTGAAATACTTGCTATTTGCCAAGCAAGTCAGCCTCTGGCAGTGTGGCCAGTAACTTTAGGTTAACTAACTTTTTCCAAGTAAAATTTACTATTAGAATCTTTTAAAAAGGAGGAGGTAGAATAATAGTAAAAATAAAATAATTGAAAACTCTCCTCTACTAATACTTTCTCTCGTCTCTCTCATCTTATGCATTCAGCAAATTAATTCATGACTCACAGTTAAAAATGTCTACTTTTTATGAATATCTATATGCAATCTAGAGGCAGATCATGTGGTTAGTTTAAAAATCAATATACTCAAGCTTTGTTTTGTTTCTTATTTTGGGAATAAGATGTAGATATGAGAAAAAAATGAAAAGAAGTATCAAACGGCATAATAAAGTATTATATTTTTACTTCTATTCCACTTGTTGCTTTTTAAAAGACTGCAATGTTCTCCCATCACTACAGGG